TAAGCATTATAACCAGGTTTCTTAATGAAATTCGCTATAGTCAGCCATATACTCAAATTTGATTGGCTTAAGAGAAATCTTTATTATAAACAGATCTTCGTTATAACCAAGCTTCGCTATAACCAGGTTTGACTGTATTTAATAAAAGCTGACTGATGAAATCGGTCAGCCATACAACACACCTCTAGTTATTATGTCAAATTTGACTTTTTACAACCACTAAATTACATACTAATAGAACTGCTTGGATTAGCAAAAAATTTAAACAATATGAGCAATCCCCAAATTACTTACATGGATGTCGACAATGTCGTCACTGAGGAGTTTATAGACAGCATTGTCACTGAGGATTTTATTGACAACTTTGTTGAAAATTTCGAAGGCAATTTTGAGAACACATATTCAACTGTACTTGCAAACGCCTTATTACGAGATAGTTATGATGAAAATGATGATGAAAATGATGACGAAAATGATGATGAAAATGATCTGAATTTTACAGTTCTTTTAGTCAAGTTCATTCCATAACACAAGAAAAAGAAAAAGTCATTACACCTACATCAACTTTCACCCCATGTATAGTTTTACATTCAATTGACGGAGAGGTGAAACGCTGCAACAGTACAGACAAACTATGTTCAATACGTCAACTTGGGGGAATGTGGGAGATAGATGGGGATGATGATGCAGTTAAAAATAAAGACACACACATTTGCTTGGACTATGTTACCAACATTTTATGTTTGATCAGAATCAACTTAATCCTAGACAACATAAGAGCAATAATCTGATTGACAGCAATGCAATGCTGACTTTGTTCTAAGTCATAGTTGTCTTTTTTGCAATAAAATAAAAACATTTTTTTTTTAGTTGTGGTATTGGTTGCAGTGAACATTCAGCAAAGGTTAATGGATGTAATGTTCAAGTACCTTGCCTAGGTGCTGATTGTCTACTTACTGAAGGATCAATTGCACAAAGACATTCTGCAGGTTATTGTGCACGTTATATCTGTACAACTTGCTTTCAGCAACAGGGTGGACATTTATGCAAAAAAGTGGGAAGAAATAAAGAATTTGTACCTTGTGGAAACGTGGAGAACACTGTAATAGTAATGATGTATGCAATGCATTATCTGATATAGGAAGATGGATAATGTCTGTATCAGAATCAGGTGATAAA